ACGCTAGTTTGGTGCATAAAAAGAAGCACCGGTGACAAATAGAAGTAAATCATAGCGGTGTCTGGTGTTTTTAAAATTTTACCAATTTAAAGCAATTTATTTTCTAATGCTTATTGTCGTCTTATAAGAGAAATTTTATTTTGTAAGTGCCTGAAATTGAGTTGTTCGGTATCTGAAACTAAGTAACCAAGTAATTTCTAAGTATGTAGAAATTATTTAATAAATAGTTGCATTTAATCGTTTTATTTGGGAAATTTTCTTTTTTTTTTTTTGCGTGTTCAGATACCGAATGAAGTAGAAGTTAAATATTGAATTCAATTAAATTGTTCGTCATATAGTTAGAGATATTAGTACAGAAGTTCATTAACGTGCAAATATCTCAGGTGCACTTCGTATTTTAATCACATTTATTCATCGTATACGCATCGAAGCAGTCTTTCTTTGATTGCATCAATTATTTCCAGTATATTGGCTTTAAAAAAATCGAATTTTATTTTATGTATATAGAAGAAAAAAAAATAGTGTACTGCACTATGCGTTGCGATAAATATATAAAAAAATAAGTTGAAACTATACATTCATCATATAAGTTTAATCAAATCAATTACAAGTAGAGTCTTTTGTACGCATTAGAGTGGGCAGTCTAGGATATAATCGTAACGAAACTATCACTGACGAGTGAGACATGTGCAATTTTGTTGAATTTGGATTAAGGAAAGAAAAAAAAAAAAAGCTCGTGTATACCAATAGTGGCCAGGAGTATGATAACTTTGATGGTTATATTGCTAAAACTGACGTTTGCAGATTCTACCAGCGTCAGCTCCTAGCTCTGCTCGTCTCCCCGCCACTACTACTACTACTGCTACTACTACTACTACAGCCACCGTGAAAAAAAGTCTAGCAATCAAAACTGAACAAAAAAAAAGCCTGCCTGCCCACTAACTTCCCAACCAGTCACCATCAGTCACCACCAGTCACCGGTAGGAGCCAAGTCGTCCGTCAGTTGACAGTCCGATGCTGTCCGTCAGTCCGTCTGTTCCCCTTCAAAAAGACTTCTTCGGGCTACCTCAACCTCTAGCGGCTAGGAGCATCGTGAATCCATCGAACAGCCGACGCGATATGAACGAATACTTCTGTCAAAATCTCGGCGCGTCAGTCCGTCCGTCCGTCCCAACTTCTACTACTACTACTACTACTACTACTACTACTACTGCTACTACTACTACTAC